GTGCTCACCAATCGTGGGAGGGGCCAAAGGGGTCGGGTGCAGTGTGTGACGGGTGATAGCTGAGGGCGGGGAACTAGGTGTCTGATCATTGGCTACAGAAGCTGGCTCTTGGTATGTGGAATGTCACCTCTCTGGTGGGGAAGGAGCCTGAGTTGGTGTGTGAGGTTGAGAGATTTCAACTAGATAAAGTCGGACTCACTTCAACGCATGGCTCTGGCTCCAGAACCAGTTTGCTTGAGAGGGGTTGGACACTCTACAACTCTGGAGTTTTTCCCACTGAGAGGTGCCGAGCCGGGGTGGGCATACTAGTTGCCCTCCATACTGGTGCCTGTATGTTGGGGTTTATCCAGTGAATGAGAGAGTAGCCTCCCTCCGCCTACATGTGTGGGAATGGGTACTGACTCTTTGAGCTTTTGCACCAAAATACAGTTCAGACTACCCACTATTTTTAGAGTCCTTGGAGGGGTGCTGGAGAGCGCTACTTATGGTGACTCCCTCGTTCTGCTGGGGTACTTTAGCAATACCATGGGCAACAATTGGTAAGACCTGGAGAGGTGTGGTTGTGAGGAACAGTCCCCCTGATCTGAATTCGAGCTGTGTTTTGTTGTTGGACTTCTGTGCTCGTCATGGATTGTCCATAATGAACACCATGTTCAGACATAAAGGTGTCCATATGTGGCGGCATGTCTTAGGCACTCGGGTGAAGAGAAGGCCGGAGCTGTCAACTGACCACTACCTGGTGCTGAGTTGGCTCCGATGTTGGGGGAGGATGCCGGTCAGACCTGGCAGGCCCAAACGTATTGTGAGGGTTTGCTGGGAATGCATGACAGAGTCTCCTGTCAGAAGGAGCTTCAATTCCCACCTCTGACACTTCCAAAATATTCCGGGGGAGGTGTTGGACATTGAGTCCAAATGGACCCTTTTCATGCCCCCTTTGTTGAGGCGGCTGACCAGAGCTGTGGCGGCAGGGTCGTCGGTGCCTGTGTGGCAGCAACCTCCGAACCCAGCGGAACATCCCTAAACAGTGGTTACCCCCCCCCCCCCCCCCCCACACACACACACACACACACAAACACACACACACACACACACACAGCCTGAAGCGCAGAATACGGAATGCAGAAAATCAGCAGGGGGACAGATTGAGACAGAATGTCATGCATCTGTGACTGTGTGTCCTGTCACTGTGACCCGAATGATCATGCGCCCTGGCTACTTGGACAAGGGAGGTCTCTGTTTGGCTGACTGGTTAGCGTGCGTGACTTTCACCTGGGAGTCTGGGGATCAAATCCTAATTGGATCATTTTTTTAATATTTGCCACAGATCTCTCTGAAGAACTCAGCATTGACGGCTTCAGCAACACTGTGCCACTCCGTGGGTTTTCTCTTATTTGTTTTGCAAAAGCACTTCCTTTCATTTCTCCACCTCACCCACAAGTACCTCAATTTCTGCTTGTGAAATAGAGCTTCCTTGATCTGCGGTCGTTATCAAAATGCTGCAACAAGCCGGCTTCTGTATATGCACAAAATCCACAAGGCACTTTGCATCGACCATTTATGGCAGAAAGGCGTGTTGAGGGTGGGATGTGACTAAAAAGCAGCAGAGAACATTTCTAGATAGTTTCTGATTTATGAAGCGGAGATTACGTGCAGCTGTGCGTACTCCATGTTTGATACTTGACGTAAGTACTTTTTTTTTTGCTGAGCTTAAGTACGGTATTAGTAAGGATTCTACGCAATGTTTGATAAATGAGACCCCAGGGCCACCAAAGTGCTGCAGAGTAACAAGTTAAATCTGATAAAATCACCAAGACAAATAAAACCAACATGTTCATCAGAATGTGATCTTCGGCTTTCGCTGGAGTGGTTCGCAGCCAGGTGTGAAGCAGCCACGATCATGGTCTTAAGTCATAAAAGGGTAGAATGCCTTCCCTGGGTCAGGGGTGAGGTCCTGCCCTAAGTGAAGGCATTAATGTATCTCTGGATCTTGTTCACGAGTAAGGGAATGCTAGAGCGTGAGATCGATAGGCGGATTGGTGCTGCATCTGCAGTGATGCGGGCGTTGTACCGGTCCGTCGTGGTCAAGAGAGAGCTGAGTCAGAAGGCGAAGCTCTCGATTTACCGGTCGATCCACGTTCCTACCCTCACCTATGGTCACAAGGTTTGGGCAGTGACTGAAAGAAGGAGATTGTGGGTAAAAGCGGCTGAAATTAGTTTTCTCCACAGAGTAGCTGGGCTCTCCCCAGAGATAGGTTGAGAAGCTCGGTCATCTGGGAGGGGCTCGAAGAAGACCCGCTGCTTCTCCACATCGAGAAGAACCAGTTGATGTAGTTCAGGCATCTGATTAGGATGCATCCTGGATGCCTCCCTGGTGAGGATTTGCAGGCACGTCCAACCGAGAGGAGACTTAAAGGGAGACCGAGGACACGCTGGAGGGACTATGTCTCCTGTCTGGCCAGGAAACGCCTTAGGATTCTCCAGGAAGAGCTGGCCCAAGTGACTGGGGAGAGGGAAGTCTGGGCCTCTCGACTTAAGCTGCTACCCCTGCGACCCGACTCCAGGTAAGCGGAAGTGAGTGGATGGCTGAATGGATCTTGATTGTTGAACCAGATATACATTTTACAAAGAAAATATAAGCTGAGAAATGAGCTATAATTTTAATGCTCTTTTCTCCCGTGCACGATGTAATTATATCCCTTCATTTTAACGGGGTCTTTTCTAACCACGTGAGAAGCAGGAGAAATCCTTTTTACTGTTACAGATCATAAACATGTATTCCCTCTGTACTCAGCAGGCATATCTACAACGCTGCTATCTCTGGTAACCAAATTAAACTGTTTATCATAAATATGTTTAATCTAGGTGGATGTGTGGCATTGTGTCATCAGATAATTACAAGGCTGGGTGTGCAATGATGAACTGAACCAGTTATGACATGGAGGTCAGATCACGCTGACATACTCTCCCCTCACACACACACACACACACACACACACACACACACACACACACACACACACACACACACACACACACACACACACACACACACACACACACACACACAGAGCCATTGTGTCGCAATCATTTCTGAGGAAGTCTTTTTTAGTACCTGCTATGATCTCACAGCTTTTTAGTGAAAATGTGTGAGTGTGCAGTGATTGGAGGATCCAGAGAAGTGCAGAAGTGTGGCGGTTCGGCCTGACCAACAACCGAATGATCCAGATGGTCGAGGTTTTTAGACAAATATTAGAGAACCAATTCATTATGAGCCATTGGCAGCTAGCAATTTTTTTCAGAACTTAGCACTACAAACAAATCAGATCATACGCCCTCTGGTGGCCACGGGACAAAACTAAATCCGTGGGACAATTGCAGGGGTTTTGTTCTTGAAAAAACATTTAAAGCTCCTATCTAGTGTTTCCCCCTTTTATGGATTTTGGATGATTTCTCAGAAATCCATAAAAGTGATTGTTTTATCATGTGATATAATGTAAGAAAGATGACTTTTATTTTTTTGCTAAGCCCGCTCCCTGTCTCATAGAGCTCAATGCAATATGAAATGAGCACCGCTCAGCACTAGCCAATAGCATTAGACTACCGCTTACATACAGACATCAATCCCAGAGCTTGCTCGAGCATTTAGGGAAGTGCCTCGTTTGATGCAGATTGGTGACCTTTCTCATGGACAAGTAGATCGTTAAAATGTAAATGTATAAAAACACAACATAACACAAGCATAATATTTGTAAACAATGTGTTTTAGCTCTGTTTTGTGAGCTAGAGTAGCACAATCGTTAACGAGAGGCGTGGCTTTCATCGTCTTGGTGTGATGCGCTTGTCAGCCACTAAATGGTGCCACCAGGTAAAATATATAATCCGAACATATAAAATAAATATATTTAGGTGCAATTTTTATTTATTTATTTATTTTTACAAAAATACATTTCATAGTTTCTAAGCAAACATCCATCCATCCAACCATTATGTTCCACTTATCTGGAGTTGAGTCGCAGGGCAGCCTAAGCAGAGAGGCCCAGACTTCCCTCTCCTCTCAGCAGGTCAGAGCAGCAGGTCTACTCCGAGCCCCTCCCGGATGACCGAGCTTCTCACCTTATCTCTAAGGGAGATCCCTGCCACCCTGCGGAGAAAACTCATTTTGGCTGCTTGTATCCGTGATCTCATAGCTTGTGACCATAGGTGAGGGTAGGAACGTAGATTGACCAGTAAATCAAGAGCTTTGCCTTCTGGCTCAGCTCTCTCTTCACCACAACAGACCGGTGCAATGTCCGCATCACTGCAGACCACCCGCCGCTCCATCTTTCCCTTACTCATCAACAAGACCCCGAGATACTTAAACTCCTCCACTTGGAGCAGGACCTCATCCTAATCAAACATGTGAGATCTAAAAACTATGGTAACACTTTTACAAAAAGGGCCCCTTTATTAACTTAATTTAATTAATTTAGTGCATAATTAAGCATTAATAAACTAATAAAGTATTACCTGCTTAACCACATTATGTAATGCATCACTGAACACCCCCCTGGCCCTTTGTTCCAACCTTAAAGACACTTTAACATATATGTTAAAGTGTCTTTAAGGTGGCCAGGTTGGAACAATAAAGGGAATCTAATTGTAAAGTGTTATCAAAACCATCAGTTCAAGACCAATAAATGCCCAAAACACACACACACACACACACACACACACACACACACACACACACACACACACACACACACACACACACACACACACACAGAGGGAGTTTATGGAATAGTTAAATAAAAGCCCCCAATCCACCATCAGGCCTGAACAGCAACTCCATTATACAACCACCAGGGTGGCTGCTGCTGTAAACACCCCCCCCCCCCCCCCCACACACACACGCATACACATATCCACACACCCCTCCACCCATTTCAACCAAGCGGACCTTCTGCTCCACAGAAAGTAAGTTAAACCCAACAACGAGGATCGAAATAATCTCTTTCTGCATTCCCCTCCTGCAGATCCGAAGTCCGGAGGCATTTTGGTTCATACAGGACTATTAAACTTTAACTTAACGAGCTCGTGCATGATCCGGGTTTTATAAGTCTCGTGTCTTCAGAGAGAGAGAGAGAGAGTGCGGAACAGAGGGGGAGGACTTCAGTCAGGGGCTGCCGATGCTGCGTTAAAGATCCAACTAAACCCTCAGCTGAAAATACCGCAACATGGCCAAGGTAAACGCGTTTCTGAAGTTTGCACAAACTCTAGGAAGTGTTTCTACTGCAGCTGAAAGCGCGTTTGGCGCACTGTGAAAAAAAGTTTAGGATGATAGCTGCGGGCTAGCTGCGACAGATGCGAGCAGATGTTTGCGGTTTTGCTTTGTGCCAGGAGATAGTTTGGGTGAAATAATTTAGGGATGATGCAACAAGCTGGAGTTCACATTTAAAACCACTTCCTGTGTTTGTTTAGGTGAAGTTTGTTCCATCTGTAGAAGCTGAATCCAACAGGAGAAAACCTGCAGACGAGGGCAGCGTCTCTCCTTAGTCAGCAGATTTCACTCACCTAAAAACCTAAAAAACAAACCAGTCTAGGGGCTCTGGTGTCACGTGATCTCCCCAGGTAATTTAATTCACGCGCCCAATTCAAGTGCAATCGGGGCAGCAGTAGCTCAACAGGTTGAGCGGGTTGTCTAGGAAGGTTGCAGGTTCGGTCCCGGCTCCGGACAGAGAATTCTGCTGTTGTGTCCTTGAGCAAGACCCCCCCCCCCCCCCCCCCCTTGCCTGCTTGTGGTGGTCGGAGGGACCGGTGGCGCCTGTGCTCGGCAGCCTCGCCTCTGTCAGTGCGCCCCAGAGCAGCTGTGGCTACATCGTAGCTCATCACCATCAGTGTGTGAATGTGTGTGTGAATGGATGAATGATACACTGTAGTGTAAAGCGCTTTGGAGTCCTTACTCTGGGAGGCGCTATACAAGTGCGGGTCATTTATCATTATCATTTAGTGTAAAACAGCTCAGACTAAAAAAAGGACAAACAGAGAAGGGAAAGCAGGCTGTTTGCTGGGCAGCCAGGGTGGTGTTTAACAGAAATAAGTCTCCATTAGGAGGTTAAATGATACTTTATATTTAAAGGACTCAATAAATTGCAGCTGAGATAATTTGATCAATCGTAATCTCCGTTTGACTTTATGTGACAAGGTGGAGAAACGAGGGCCCAGGCGGGATTCGATTCCCAGACTCCCGGGTGAGAGTCATACGCTCTAACCAGTCAGTCAAAGGGACATCCCCTTGGCCAAATAGCCAGGGCGCATCATCAATCGGGACATTGTGACAGGACACTCACACTGTCACATTTATTTGGACAGAACTAAATCATTCAAATCTATTCTGACTTATTTTGATGTTGAGTCAAAATAAAATCAGGCACAGAAGTATAAAACAAAAATAAATCAATGAAAAAAGTAAATAAATGCTGGTCTGCATTTCAGTCTTAGAAGAAGTGTGTTTTATGGAATTTACCTTTAAAGTTGGTTCTCCCTCGGTATGGAGCCTTTAAAATAAAACATATTGACCATATTCTGATGACATGGTTAGAACTTAGTTTAATTAGTCATGAAAACAATCAGTAAAAAGCTAATCTTGTCATCAGATAATATGGGATTGGGTAATCTTTGACATTTTCAGATTAACAAATGGCCTAATTCATAAATCAGTAAGCAGCTGCCATCACAGCTTGTGTGTAAACTGGTAACAGCATCAGATGGTAGAAAATGCAATCTGTGCCCAAGAATTCACCAAAACAGATCTAATCCAAAGCTTTCCTTACAAATGTGTCTAATTAAAGGCCAGGGAAAAACCTGAGACGAAAAGGTTGTTGAAAGCGTTGAAAATAAAGTGCTTGATGCAGGAAGTATCTCCCTCTAGGTGGCTGAAGGGTATGGCAACAGCAGAATTGATAAAAATGCATCAATGGATAAAATAGTAGTTTAATGTATCTGTAGTGCTGAAGCAGAGGAGAATACAAATAAAAGTAAAAACATGTTTCGTCTTTAACGTCTTGTGTCAGCTCAGCAGCACAGCTAGCGGTAGTTTATAATTGACCAAAAGTTAAAGAGAAAGTCACCCCCAAATCAACTTTTTTTTGCTAATAAACTACCGTATCGACCCGAATATAAGACAATGTTTTTTCATTGAAAATTATTTTAAAACGTGGGGTCGACTTATAATCGGGGTCTAACCATTACATGCCCGTAACAGCAGACGGCGCCAGGCTGTGCGTTCTCAACAGGAGAAAAAAATGGAGATGAGAGGTCCAGATCAGAGTGGACCAAAAAGTGGGGCAACTTAACAAGCTATAAGGCATAATGCAAAATTTTAAAATGACCATGGTCAATTCAGCAGAGGCGTCAAACGTTGCATTCGTGGATGAATTGGATGGTAGTAAAGATGAGTTTCTGGGAGGAGTCGACAGGTGTAGAGATCTGATGGGACACCCCACAGCAACATGAGTGTGAAGGAGTACAGCGAGGCAGGGGACGTCTGTGAATAAAAGCCTTATTTGACTTTAGATTTCAAATGTCAGCAAAGTTCTGATAGTTTGCATAAAAATAGTATTTTTGCTCAGTATTTTTTCTAAAATTTTCAATAAAAATTGTTTATTAAAAAGTGATTTTTTTTGTCTTTTCTTGGAGATTAGTCTTGGAAAGGGGGGTCGTCTTATAATCGGGGTCGTCCTATATTTGGGTCAGTACGGTATATAAATGATCGTTCTGTAGGCACGTGGAGTAAATTTGGCACTTAAGTGAATCTTAGTTAAACTTTAATAATTCTGCCTAAAACTGTCAGTGTTGCACCCCCTTCAGCTAAAAACTCTGCACTGCATTTGCTATTGGCTAAAAGGTACACTACGATGTTCACTGGTACAATATGATGTCACAATGCCATTGTGAGCCTGTGTGTGTGTGTGTGTGTGTGTGTGTGTGTGTGTGTGTGTGTTTGTGTTTGTTGGCAGCTCTGCCCTCTTGGTCTGCCAGGCAACAGCATTTGTTGCATTTTTCAAACATAAAGTGGGAATGGAGTATGACTCTGTTAGGGAGGGTGACTTGCTCTTTAATTTAAACCAAATGCAATGACAAACCTGCAGAACTAGAACATTTTCTGTCCACACAGCCAACTTGAACATCACAGAAGCAGCTCTTTAGCATTCTATGGAATGAAACTCATTGTCACGTGACCCAGAATTTTAGCTCTATTTTTGCGTAATGATTACCTAGGATGTTGTTGACTAACTGCCACATTCCTCAGAAATTCTCTCTGCTAGAGACTATCGATCAGCTCAGTGGTTTTTGTTTTTGACTAAAAGTTTGAACTACTCCTGTAAAAGTGAACATTCTGTCTCTGCTCCATGTAAACCCTGCTGAATTACACGTTTCTCCCTCTCAGAAACTATGTGGAACCAATTACCCGCTCAGCATCTGCTTCATAGTGGTTAACGAGTTCTGTGAACGCTTCTCCTACTATGGCATGAAAGGTAAAAATAAACCCGATTCTGTGTTTAAGAATAGGTCAGACTAAAGTAGAGATCCTCACGCGATAAAACTCACAATACAGACACAGTTCTAACATTTAACCCTTTACTTTAGCAAAAGGTAATAAAAACTGTGTCAATAGTTTTTTATGAAGCATTTATTGTCTCATTGTTTGTTTTTCAAATATCAACTTTAATTAAAAGATTTAATCAGAAAATTTGAGTGGTTTTCAGAAAAATACAAAGCACTGATATTCTTCATTTATCTGAAGCCAAAATATTCTTGTGACAGGTGTGATGCTTTGGGACATTTTTCTTTCATGTCGAGTTTCTAGTCCCTTGTGTATGGAAGCAAAAAGCTGCCACCCACACAAATGAAAGTTATAACACATTATAACGAGATAATTTTATTCTACAAAACACACATCTATCACCTTTACACAATATTATTGTATACTACAAATAAAGTTATCACCTTATAACAGGATATCACTCTAATTTTATTTTTGCATGAGTGGCAGCTCTAGGGTTCCGTATTTTATTATTATTTTAGTTTATTCTTTGTGTATTTCCTGCTGCACCCATCACTGCCTCAGTCCCTTCCTCACCAGCGCTCCTAGTACTGTATACGTAGTCCTCTATTTTACAGTCAGATCCTCCATCGCTTGTCAGTCCTGGTTTTGTGGTTTAAACCAGTCTTAGCTACCTGCACTCCTGAGTCCTGTTTAAACTCTAGCTAGAACTGTGGTTCCTGGTTTTGAGGTGGGTCATGACTCATGATTGTGTTTGATGACAGCGGTGCTGACCCTGTACTTCCTCAGCTACCTGAAGTGGGACAAAGACCTGTCCACAGCTGTCTATCATGCCTTTAGTGGTCTCTGCTACTTCACTCCCATCCTAGGAGCGCTCATCGCTGACTCCTGGCTCGGAAAGTTCAAGTGAGTATAAACGTGACTATGCAAATGTTTCCAGCAATGTGTGAAAATTTGGTGTTATTTTTAAAATAGTTTACTGTATTCCAGTCAGCATGATGCCTCAGTGCATTCTTCATCTAATACATGTGTTTGTGGTCAGAGTGTGTGAGTCGCACAACCACACAGACACTGACTCTGCATACATATGATGACTGTGTGCTTCCAACAGAACCATCATCTACCTGTCCATTGTTTACGTGATCGGCCATGTGATAAAGTCAGTGGGAGCCATTCCCACGGTGGGAAACAAGGACGTGCACATGTGAGTTACCACGGCTTTAGTTTTCAGTCACAGTGAGGATGTGAAACAGGAGTCCGTGCGCTGGAAGGGTCGGGTTATCGTCCATCAACCTCATCACTTTTAATAATATCTGCAGATGTAGGCACAGGAAACTCTTAATGATGGTAATCTTCATTCTGAGCTCTGTGGGCCGCTCTGACCTTTGCTCTCTGGTATACACCATGACACCAGACCGCAGTAAGGAAAGGCAGCTTTGTTTTTTCTGGCAGTATTTTTTTAATGTAATTACATTAAAGGGTTACTCAAGGGTAGATGAAAACACGGTTTTCATTTTGATTCAAAAGTTACTAGAGTTAGGGCAGCTGATTCCATGGTCATTTCTCTATATCCAGTACGCTAATACGTTCCTCTGTACTTGACAAGTATGTTCTTGGCAAGGACACCAGACAGACCATTCTACTGAGTACGGGAGGACGAGGACGGCATTTGGAACAGAACTGTACTGTACTACTTGCATGGCAACAAGCTACAGTTTATAAAATGTCCTGACATAAAAATGAAAGTCAAGTTTGTCCCCTAAATAACAAAATAACAATGATTACATATTATTTGGTTTGTATTTGGTCCACCTTTGATTAAAGTTGATGAAACACTGGTATCTCCAACTCTTAAATGAGGAAAAAAGTTAGTTTCAGCAAAATGGAGCTTTTTAAGGCACTGCTACTTATTTTTATAGTCGTCGTCGTCTTCCTCCGCTAGTCCGGGTCGCGGGGGCAGCATCCCAACTAGGGAGCTCCAGACCGTCCTCTCCCCGGCCACCTCCACCAGCTCCTCCGGCAGGACCCCAAGGCGTTCCCGGACCAGATTGGAGATGTAACCGCTCCAACGTGTCCTGGGTCGACCCGGGGGCCTCCTGCCGGCAGGACATGCCCGAAACACCTCCCCAGGGAGTGTCGATGTTTGATTTGTAGTCATGCTAAATACAAACTTTTACAATCTGATAAATGTCAGAGCACGTGACAGGCGTGGTCGAATCACACATCATTACTTTTCATTTAAATAGAAGAACAACATATATGTGATCCAGGGCATGAGGTGAAGCGGATTGACTTGCATTCATTATTTGCTTTTCTGAGGACCTATGACTGGAAAACAAGGAGACTTAAGCTTGGTTTATGCTTGACGCATGTACATTCCGATTGGGAATGAGACGCGCGGATGGGAAGAGTGTCGGAACTTGCAGCGTTTATGGTTCCTTCCTACATTCTGCAGCTTGTTTCCGATGTGAGCCAACATTCTCCCTGACTGAAGGAGGCGGCACGGGGCTCTACGGCACGCATCCAACACTACACCATAGTAGACGTATAAATCCCAGTTTTTAACAACATTTTTCACTGTGTCCTCGTCTTTTCTATCTGTGACGGCAGTTAACAATATTTTGATCACGGTGATCTTTATGGGCCGAATCATAGAGATGTCTGTACTTATGAAACTCCGGCACTACGAGCGCTTGCCAGTCCGCCATGTTTTTCTGTGCATGGTTAGAAAATTTCCTAGGGCTGTGTTCAAATTCAGGGGTTGCGCGCTCACAAGGTCGAATTTTAAGACTATTGATGTCGCAGCACTGCGATGAAGACTGTCCAAATTCAAAGAGTCCTCCGAATGCGGTCTTGAAATCCATTTTTCTTCTTCCCTGATTTTGAGAACATGTGTAGTCTCCTCACCTCTATAAATCTCATGATGCACTGCGGAACAGGTGTTGTGAGAAATTCTGTTCCCCTGAAATATTCTGTACCCCCGTGTCGGGAGGTCACCGGCTCTTCACACCATTTGCGATTGACTTTAATGGGAACATTATGTAATGTAATATTGTCATGCTTGTGATGTTTTTTAATTTACATTTCCTCCTAGAAACATTAAAAAAGTGCACTAAAAGCATTGCTGTTCACTCTTTTCCAGCAAGTTTATTTATCATTTTAGAAAGTTACATAAAAGGGTGTAATCTCACCGAGTTTAGCCATCTTTTATTTGAGGTTGTTTAGTCCTCTCATAATAGACATTAAGTCCTGTCAATTTGGAAATATCTGTTCTTTATTAAGTTCTTAGGGGAAACATAATATTTTAGGGGAACAGAATTTCTCAGAACACTGGCGGTACATCTGCTGTAGCTCTTCAAACAGTAACAAAAAATTGCATTACATTACAAAACATCGTCTTCATGCTAAGCTTTGGTTAGGAGATTCGTAAACACATTCAACGCCATTCTGTCGGTCTACGTACCCTTAGCGGAAGTCCCTGTCTAGATCAGGAGGTGTAAAGGTCCAGCTTGGACCTTTGGAGCCGAAGCTTGTAGAGCAACAGCGGCAGCCGACCACCAGTCTTGAGATACTTCCGGGTCACGACAGTTTATCGACAAGACCCAAAACGGGGTCGTGATGGTTCAGCTGTTATTCTGAAAGGAACCGTTACAGTAGGTGGAACGGCAACAGGTTGTCCAGCTTGTTGTTGGTTCTTTCAGCTGAAGAGGAAAGTTACGGATTGGCCACTCCGACAACTTCTCTCGAACGCTTTGAACTGGCGTTAAGATGATGTGGGCATAGTTTTATACTTCGGATGTTTTGGTTTATAGTCGAATCAAAAGATGACAGATTTACCAAACACCACCAAAACTCCGCCTCCATCAGATCTGGCAGATTCTGATTGGATCAGTAAAAGCAACGTGTCATGTCTTTATGCTACATGAGATCAGTCTCTAGTGGAAACGTTTAAAGTCATATTACTTATTATATTCTATAGGATTATAATAAAGTAATTAATATTTTGATTTCACAGATTGGTCACATCTTATTATTGACTAACACTTTGTTTGATTAGCTTATTAAAAATAGAGTTATTTGATTTATTAAAAGGAGACAGTCCTTTTCTTCATTTTTCTCTTGGGCCGACGACCACACTGCACATGGTTCGTAGAGAAACCTCGATGCAACCAAATCAGTCCTGAGATGTCTCCGGGTCACAACGATAGATGAAACCGAGCGTCTTAAAAATAACTCTGAAGGAGTTTGCGTCAGCTTCGTTCTGCATGAATTATCTTGTTCTCAGCTTCGCAGGTGCGAAAAAGGTTTAAAAAGGTTTTGACAGACGTGTTAAATTCCTTGCTGGTTAAAGAGGTTTGCTCAGATGGCCGGTCTAAAGCTTTTCCTCTTGAACTCTCGAACTTTTCGAACTGAAGGAAAAACCAGAGTAAACTAGTTTTAATGGATTGATGTTATTTTGAATAGCCAACCAAAAGTTGACAAGTCTGAGGCTATTACCAAGCATCTCAGAGACACACCCTCTTTGATTCGGAGCCTATGAATCTGGTCAAAAGGTTAACCATGTGTCATGCGTTAACTTTACTCTGTCTTTGTGTGAGTGCAAATGTTATGACCTTGTCCAGTAAACATGCTAGACATATCATTAAGCACAGATTGATGAAACATTTCATTATTTATAAGTAGAAATAACAAAAGTTTATTTAATGATTATTTTAACTTAAAAAAAATCTTCCTTCTGGGAATAGAGGAATTCATTTAAAAGATTTCCTCTATGTCATGATGCAGATGGGAGGTTGGACCCAAAGTGCAGAAATCCAGAACACACAGGCAGGAGCAGTTGAAAAAAGTAAAATCCTTTATTTTGGAAGATAATCAAAATCCAAAGGAGAGGAGGCAAAAACCTAACCACTAAACCAAGACAAAACCAAAAGCTCACTTACTGAACGAGAACAAGACAAAACCACAAACAAAAGACAAAGAGAAAACAGGACATGAAAAACCACAGGGAGGTACCAAACAAAAACAACCCACAAGGGCGGGCGAGGAGGGACCAGGGGACTCAGGGAGGCTGGCGACGGGGAACCAGAAGCCGGGACCAGGAGAGTCTCGGGAGCCGGCAACAGGAAACCAGGAGTCGGGAACAGGGAACTCTGGGTAAAGGGAACTCTGGAGGAGGGCGACGAAGAAGGGACTCTGGAGACTCAAACACTGGAGACTGGAACGCTGGAGACGGGGATTGTAACGGGGACACTGGAGACTGGAAGACAGGAATTGTTGACCACTGAACTGGAGGGGGAGACGTCGACCTCTGGAATGGAGGAGACGTTGACCTCTGGACGGGGGGCGCCGACCTGGATGGGGGCGTCGACTTCAGGGTTGGAGGTGTCGACTTCTGGTCCGGGGGCGTCGACTTCAGGGTTGGAGGTGGAGCTGCTGCAGGAGGAGCCACCAAATTCTGGAGTGGAGACGGAGCCCCGTGGACGGGTTGGACCGGAGCCTCGTGGACGGGCTAGACCAGATGCGGTGCGTCCTCCGGGACCACCGCCTGAGCAGGATGCGATGCGTCCACCGGGACCACCGCCTGAGCAGGATGCGATGCGTCCACCGCCGGAGCAGGATGCGATGCGTCCACCGCCGGAGCAGGATGCGATGCGTCCACCGCCGGAGCAGGATGCGATGCGTCCACCGCCGGAGCAGGATGCGATGCGTCCACCGGGACCACCGCCGGAGCAGGATGCGATGCGTCCACCGGGACCACCGCCGGAGCAGGATGCGATGCGTCCACCGGGACCACCGCCGGAGCAGGATGCGATGCGTCCTCCGGGACCACCGCCGGAGCAGGATGCGATGCGTCCTCCGGGACCACCGCCAGAGCAGGATGCGATGCGTCCTCCGGGACCACCGCCGGAGCAGTGGGAGGTTTTGGCTCGATGGAGGTGTGGAGATGACGCTGGCAGAGAAAGAAGATGAGGAGGAATAACAACCCACCAGGGATGAAGAGGCAGCGTTGTCGGGATCAGGGGAGGGTGTGGTGGTTTGGCCCATCAGAAATGCTTAGATGGCACCAACAGGTTCGGGGAGAAGGAGATGAAGCCGGTTCTGATAGTTTGGACCGAAGCAGCAAGGGACTGGAGTCTAGGAACAGAAGGAGAGTTGGAGGAGGTGGTGGCAGGAGTGACTGATGGAGGAGGGTCACGGCCAAAG